CATATTATGGACAGAATATCTTGGATTAACCAGGTGGTGGGTATGTGTTTCATATTTGCTCTTTGCAGATGATGTGGTTCTGTTGGCTTTATTGGATGTAATCTCCGGGTCGCTTTGCAGCTGAGTGTGAAGCGGCGGGAGTTCGAATGATCACCTCGAGGTCTGAGGAGTGTTCGTGGAGTGTCCACTCCGAGTGAGGGAACAGTTACCCAAAGTAGAGGAGTTGAAGTATCTCAGGGTCCTGTTTACAAGTGAGAGGAGAGTGGAAACGGAGATTGACAGATGGTTTTTGGCAGTGGGGCATCACGAATGCTGTATTGATCTTTTCTTTTGAAGAGAGAGCTGAGCTTAAAAGCAAAGCTTTGGATTTTACCGGTCAGTCTATGTTCCTATGTTCCCTCGCCTAAGCTCACGAACGCTGGGTAGTGACCAAAGAATGAGTTTGCAGATAGAAATGACCTTCGTTTGAGGAGTGCCTGACTCCTCCGTAGAGATGTGGTGAGGAGCTCGGTCATTTAAGAGGGACGAAGAGTAGAACTGCTACAAGGGGCCAGTTGAGGTGGTTCAGTAATCGGACTGAGATGCCCCCTGGACGCCTCTTGAGTGAGGTATTCTGGCCATGACCTGCGGGGGAGGAGGTCTCAGGACAGACCCGGGATTTTGATTTAATTTTTAAAACTTTTCTATTTAATTAAGCACTTCTGATCTATTTAGTTTTGTGATTTTGTGTTTAATTTGACTGCTGTAACACGTTTCCACACACACACTTCCAAATATTTAGCATAGACAAGATAAAGAATATGTTTAATTTAATTAGTGCCATTAACAGGTGTGATGTGGCTAATTGAGAACACGGCTTCCTGCTGTCGCAGCGGCCTGACATTAATCTGAATTAAACAGGAGAGCCGAGGACAGTCGGATGCAGTTGGGAACATGTGTACTACAGTGTGTCGTGATTTAACGTCCCCACTGAAACTAACGCGTCCGGTTGCTTTCGGCCTTTAATTACACCATAGATTTCCTGCTGATGAACAGGCGGCGAATTAACAGTGAGAAGGCTAATTCACAGCCGCTCTCCCCCACCCACTCGCTGTTATTGCCACACAAGTTATTGTGTTATTGCTGAGGGATGGAGGGGAAAAAAGAGAAAGAGCTGAGTGCACTTAGCTACACAAACATTAGTATTAACGATCGGGCTGCCAGTTCACAACTGGTGACAAACTGCAGACGGGCAGAAACTGGAAACCAATCAGGAAGTTAATGAGGAGAAAAATTACTCCTCTTCTCTCCTCCCACCACTGCTGAGAACACACACACACACACACACACACACACACACACACACACACACACACACACACACACACACACACACACACACACTAGTGCAGGGAGGTTTTATATTTTTTTAAGCTGTGAATTCAGTAGACTTGTGTAATCTGATTACCCGTGTACATTTCTCATAGTTTTATTGTATTCTGGGAGCTGATGAACCTTCTAATCTGTCGTTTTCTCTCCTGTAAACTCGATCCTCAGATTAACACGTGTGGAGCATCTGGATTAAGCAGCTGATTATTTTCTTGGTTTTTATTAATAAATAACATAAATAAAAAATAACAAAATCTTTTAATGTACCTTAAAGTAATTTTTTGTTAATTATCTTAACATAAATTATTTATTAATTTATTACTTTATATATTAATTACATGTTATTAAATTAAAAAGGCATGATTTTGTTTCCTATTTGTATTTTTTGGCATTTATACAAAAAAGTTAGTAATACTATTGTAAAAACGATATTTAAATATTTATTGAGTAATTCTGTGATCAAAAGACTGTTCGACTTTTCTTGCTTCGATCTGGGAAACGTAACTTTTATCCTGTTAAATTAGCACTTTCTATTCATTTTACAAACAGGGATGAATGATTGCGTTTGCTGCCACATTAATGTTATTGTTTTATTAGTAGACATAGCTTGTTCGATTTCAGTTCAGTTTTATTTATACAACACCAAATCACAACAACAGTCGCCTATAAAATAAAATACATAAAATTGTATATTTATACGATAATACACACAGAGAAAAACCCAACAATCATATGACCCCCTATGAGCAGCACTTTGGCGACAGTGGGAAGGAAAAACTCCCTTTTAACAGGAAGAAACCTCCAGCAGAACCAGGCTCAGGGAGGGGCGGGGCCATCTGCTGTGATTGGTTGGGGTGAGAGAAGGAAGACAGGATAAAGACATGCTGTGGAAGAGAGACAGAGGTTAATAACAGATATGATTCAATGCAGAGAGGTCTGTTAACACATAGTGAGTGAGAAAGGTGACTGGAAAGGAAAAACTCAATGCATCATGGGAATCCCCCGGCAGCCTACGTCTATTGCAGCATAACTAAGGGAGGATTCAGGCTCACCTGGTCCAGCCCTAACTATATGCTTTAGCAAAAAGGAAAGTTTGAAGCCTAATCTTGAAAGTAGAGATAGTGTCTGTCTCCTGAATCCAAACTGGAAGCTGGTTCCACAGAAGAGGGGCCTGAAAACTGAAGGCTCTGCCTCCCATTCTACTTTTAATTTCTACTTTTAAATACTCTTACTGCTAATAGTTGAAGTTTATGTGTGTGCTTACATGTGTTTAGTACGTCCATGTTGTTGAAATGGGAACTTTTACTGACCTCAGTGTCAGTAAAAGTGTCCAGTGTTCATCTGCTAGTGGTGGGAGGAGCCTGGCTCTCTGCAGGTGCTGCAGGTGTGAAGTTGTGCGTGAGCTGGATGATGTGACGATTTCCTTTCCCACTCATGTACTGATTTATTTTTATTTGAATTATAATTAAAGTTTTGGAAATCAGCTGTTCAAGTTTTTAAAAATGTACGACTCTTTTTAAGTTAATAAGTGATTATAATGATTTGTCTTCTGTATGTTTCCCTCCCTGAGCCTGGTTCTGCTGGAGGTTTCTTCCTGTTCAAAGGGAGTTTTTCCTTCCCACTGTCGCCTAAGTGCTGCTCATAGGGGGTCATATGATTGTTGGGGCTTCTCAATGGCTTCTTACAATATAAAGCGACTTGAGGCGACTGTTGTAATTTGGTGCAATATAAATAAAATTGAATTAATGTAGTTTATACTACTGCTCAGTTACATCAAACACAACAAAAGCTGAGCACCAAAACTGTCAGCAGTTCTTTCATTCATCGTCTCCAAGCTCGAACAGTTAAAAGTTTAACTACACGAAACATTTCAGAAACAGTTACCTGAGTAGAAAAGGTCACAACCAAACCAAACAGTGAAAATGATCATTGTTAATAACTGAGCCTGAGGTCTGCTGTTAGTGTTTGTGCTGCAGCTGCAGAGCGAGTGTTAAAATGGGCGGGTGCACATCGCTCCGCTCTTAACTGTAAAAGATGTAATGCTTTTGTTTTGTGGTCACTGTCTTCTCTTTTTGCTCGCTGATTCAATTTGCTGTAAATCCCAGGCTTTGCCAGGAATCATTTCACCGTGCGCTCGTATTTATATCGAGGCTAACAGAGAGGAGCATTTATTCTGCAGAGCTGATGATTACTGTCCCGTTTTGTCTGTCTCACTGTAGTATTTCTGTTGTCCTTCTCGTTTACTCGCCTTACAGCACGGAGACATGTTTATTTTATATGTGCGCTGTCCTGTCTACCTACACGACGTAATAGGAATCTATCATATTAATGACTTTAAGGAGTTTCTGAGGAAGAGATTTGTACTTGGATGTCAGACGTGAAGTGAACCATCTGAGGATTGTCAGGGTTTTTTCCCAGTTTATTATCATGTCACTGCAGTGTGAAGGACTTTTAATATTTAATAATCAAATGTGTCGAGCAAAGCTCAGCAAACGTTGTCATCGGAGCCATCGTGACAACATTTTGGATGTGCCGCTGTAGTGTCTTTAATCGAAAAACGACTCCTCCTTAATTTCCTCAATCAAATTCTGTGACTTCTTGTAGTTGGTGCAGCAAAGATTATGGAAAGTTGTATGAAATATAATCTCTTGTTTTTAATACTTTAATATCATTTTTAAAGTGGTCTTGAGCGATAGTTCTCCAGGCTTTCTGAAGGTCTTTCAAAGTTTTCTTCGGGCATTGGCTGCGTGTTCACTCGATTTTCAGTCCAGTCCAGGAGATGAACAGGAAAATAAAATCCAGCAGAGACCCGACACAGGGCAGGAGACCGGATCAGCCTCTCAGTCGATTCATTCAACAGTCCAACAGTGAGTCTGCAGCTCACTGTAAAGCAGGGTGGAGGCTCTGCATTTCAGCCAGTGGGGGAGGATGAAATTATGAACACAGAACAGCAGCGTCAGGTTTTTATCCACCATGACAACCATCTGCAAAGCATCTGATTGGGCACAGCTTCATTTGTCAGCACACTGCCAGTGCGGTTACAAGCTTACCTGGACAGGTACAAAATGTTGTTGCTTTGCATTGCTGCGTCTATTTTTCATCGTCCGACTTTTATATAATCAACATAAATAGAGTCATTAGAAAAAATGTTTCCATTATCTACCCAGGTGGTTGTTTTAGTCCCTGACATTGTTCAGTTTGTTTGATGTTAATGAAGTAAATCGATGTGACGTTTGTTGGTGACTCAAAGGCAGAAACGGCCCTAACCAATCTGGCGCCCTAGGCAAGATTTTAGGTGGCGCCCCCCTACATCAGCAGTGTAGTGTAATGTTGTAACAAATAATATTTCTATTAAATAAGCTTTACTTTGCATTTTAATTAACGTGGGATTATTTTTTGTATTTAGAAATAATAGTACCAACTTTTTTTTTTCTTTTTTCTTTTTTTCAACATTTGTGGCACTGGCGTGGCGCCCCCTGATGGACGGCGCCCTTAGCATTTGCCTATACGGCCTATGCCACGGGCCGGCCCTGCTCAAAGGGTTCAGACTCTTTAGAGAAGCACATTTTTGCTCTGAGATCTTCGGTGCTCCTCAGCAGATCTCTGACTCTCCATCTGTCTTGTTCCTGCAGCCTTCTCGCCCGGCAGCATCTCCGCTGGTCACGACTCCACCATGATCTGCCGCTCCATCAGCTCCCTGGTTAACGTTGATGCCAAGGCTGAGTGCGAGGCCAGCAGCCAAGCTGACGGCTTCACCGTCGACTCCATCGAAGGCGGCGCCACCAAATAAGAGAAGAAAAGGATAAGATCACACGACAGAAGCTTTATGAGCTCGGACGAGCTGAAACTTGATGTTCTTTAACAACCGTTTAATCGTTCGCTCTAGTTTCACGTTGTCTGCACGTTGTCTGCACGTTGTCTGCACGTTTCCCTTCTAAAGCTCTGTTCTTGTATTTGTAGATCATTTTAAATCCAGTTCAGGGTTACGTATCACAATGTAATTAACTGGCCAATGCAGTGAGACCCTTGATTAGCTTTAATCAAGATCAGATGATTGAGCGTGAAGCAACTCTTCCAAACAGAAATAAAGTGGGGTTTTTAAATGCAGAGCAAGGTTCTGGTTTTTTCCTTTGAATAAAGCTGCAGCGCCGCATTTCTGCTGAGGGTTGCTTAGCATGATCGACTTTCACCTCATCAGTCCAACAGCTGGTGACTTATTCACAGACAAGAACAAGAAGACCACATTTTTCTGTGTTAAACTCTTTGCAGCTTGTAAAGAACAAACATGTCAGGATGCTGTGCTGTTAAATAATCAGCGTGCACAGCCTTTAACCGTCTAACCTCCGTCGTGTCCACGTGCACATTTACACTCCGGCTCAACATTTAAGTCTGATTCTCTAAACGAGCAACGTAAAGACAGCCGTGGAGAAAAGCGAGACTTTGTTACAAATAACATTTAATTTA